GTTGGGGTGGGAAGTCATTGTGACATCAAGGCACGGTAATTTCTAATAATGAAGAGAGGGTGGTAGCTAAGCACTCAACTGCCATTTTCAGGAGCAGCTGCACATTTAGCATATTTCAGTTCAGAGACAAATCTGCCACTTGAGAGTAATTTGCTTAATTTTTTTCTCTTTTTTTCTCAGTCAACAAAAGATGGCTTTATTTACTGTCTGGGTTCCACATTTCTAGTCTTGCATGTGCTTAGGACATTATGAAAGTATACTGAATAAGTGAATAATTTATAGAGGTTGCTTGAAAAGTTAACCCAAGTTTTGAAAAAAAAATGAAAGTAGGAATGTAATAGTGCTGCCAGATCTTGAAACATTTAATTTGGAATGCTTTCCTGTCACTCAACAAGATTGATCAGAGGGTTAAAACATAATCGGAATCCAAGCCTTTCTTATACTTCTCATAATTGGCTGTGTATCTTTAGTTAGTGGTTCTTGTGATCTGTTAGAGCTTGTCTCCAGGCACAAACTGTCACTGAATTACTTATTTTGTCTTATTTTGTCTATAGAAGTGGTTGTGGTTTGGTTTGATAATGTTTTTTAAGTTTGCAATTAATGCTGAGGAACTCATACATGTTTGTGGTACTGTATTGTGGGCAGATAGCGCAGTTTTAAACATCAAAACTTTGCCTCTGAAGAACAGTTTTTACATTCAAATGTCAAATGTGTATGGGGCTGTAGGTTTAGTTTTGCATACTACTTGTTTCAGAAAACAGCAAGCCAGTAAATACTGGTTTATATTAATGTTAAGTAAGTATGTTCTTAATGTCAATGGACATGTTGTCTATATACAGGATTATATAAAGGAATTGTTTTAATATTTTTGTACTGCCAGTAAAAACTTATCCTGCTTGTAAATGGTTTTAATATTGTGATCCATGTTCTTGCTGTATACCACAATATATCTTCAGAATTCTTTTTGAGGAAATAGCTGGCATTCTGAAGGGCAAAACAGAACATAACTCTTCATTTAATGAAATAAAATCCATTTTCACTTACATGTATATTTCATTTTTGTCTCTGAAATATCAGAAAAACATTCAAGCCAAAATCAGCTATGATTCTATGAATAAATACAATAGTTACACATTAAAACAATTAAATGAAAAGGAGGGTGTGGTAGTCCATCTTTGTTTCAACTTTCAGTAGAAAATAAGTGGATGTTTCATAGTCTTTTACCAAAACAAGAAGCAAAACAATCTTCATTAAGCCAGAAAGGGCCTAAAATTTTAGTATTGCCCTCATTGTGACATTACCATCATGCCCCATTGGGCTCTTTGATTTTTACAAAATGGGGAACTGGTTCCACAAAAGGGAAAGAGGTCTGGTTTTAGAAAAATAGGAACTTGCTTTAAACTGTCTTGATCAGTCTATAGTATCTGAAACTGTATTCTTTTATTCTTCTGGAGCTATATAAGTGAGGACCATAATCTGCCATCTTTTAGCGATTAGACCATAGTAGGGATGTGGATGTTACTATAGTATATCTCAGATACAATAAAGGTTGCAGTTAACTCAATGGAGGCTTTGTATTGTAGGTTATTGTTTACTAATCCTGGTGAAATTTTATGCTGATTTATTCAAGTGTAATTTTCAAGCAGCTCTTACAGATTACGAATCCTAACTTTAGGATATCTTCTGTAATATTACAGTTGCCAGGGAGCATTACACTGACTCTGTCCCTTTGGGGGTGCATGCAAAAGAAAACAAGACAATTGCTATGTTTCTGAAAACTTGTCCATCCCTTAAGTCAGTTGTAACTCTCACAATTTAAAAGCAGTGATATGCAAATTAAGAAAGAAATAGGCATATGTAGCCTGGAAGGAAGACTGGTGAGGAACACAATAGCATTTTTTAGATACATATAGACTGTTACAAAACTTGTTCTCTGCTGCCCCAGAAAGGAGAATTAGAATTGAATTAGCTTAATTTACAAGAGGATGCATTTCAGCTGAATTTTAGGAGAAAACAAATAAGAGGAATGGTGAACTGTCCCTCACTGGAAATCTTCAGTCATAGTCTGAAGGGTCATCTCCTGAGATATGCTCCAGTCTTGGATTTCCTAATCAAGTAAGGCATTAGACTAGCTGGTTTAGAATACACTTCCTAACACTAGGATTTTTTCCTTATTGCAAACAATAGAGTGGGAGAGCAGACAGTGAAACATAAATCAACTTTTCAAAAGGGCAAAAAGAGTTAAAAGAATATTAAGGGATGATAGCCCATCTAGGTGGCAACTGCTAGCCAACCTTGGCCGATCTCAAAAAGCTAAGCAAGGCTGAACCAGGTTAGTACTTATAAGAGAAGCACTAGGAAATAGCAGGGCTGCAGTTTAGACTGGGAATTTGAAAATATATTGAAGGTAATGATCAATCTGATAGCAGCAATAAGACCTTGTGGTCAGAAGATGAGATTTGTATGAGTCATGTAAAAACCGCAGGCATAAACGAGGAATGTTAGAGATGTAGAAAACTGGAGGCTTGACTGAGAAGCAACCTTTGCTTAATTAGCATAGCAAAATGCACACCCAAAAGGTGGGGATTTTAGAAAACAGAACATACTAAGCTTATTACGGGATGTTCATATGTAACATGGAATCAGGTGCATCTGCACAACATTGTAACCAATCATACCTATTTTCTTATCTCAATGTAACCAATTATGTTTATTCCC